CCGGGAGCCCGGCGGCCAGGGGAGCCGGGGAGCAAAGCCTCTGAGGATGCCAGCGGCGGGACAGCCGCGGGGCGTCTGGGCTATCCCGCTGCCGGCTTCCCCGAGGCTTTGCAAAGCTGCGGGGAAGCCGGCAGCGGAACAGCCCAGGCGCGCCTGGGCTGCCTGAGCCCCCCCCGCAGCTTTGCTCCGCGTCTTCCTGGTCTGCAGACCAGGGAGACGCGGAGAAACCCCCGGAGTACACGGGCGGCAGGACCGCGAGGTCCCGCAGTCCGTGTCCTCTGGGGCGAGCCCCGTTCGTAACTGCGGATCCGACGTAAGTCGGGGACTGCCTGTATATGTAATGTATATGTATATACATACAAATATGTGTGTATATAGCTACACATATGTGAGTATAGAAATATATATATATACATATGTACATATGTAAAGTCACTTTCAGGTACAGTTGTAAACTTTCTTATTACAAAACAGGTAATCTTGTGTCCAAAGCTGACTACACTAGAATAAATTGAGTTAAGGTCCATAGGCTTTAAATACAGTATGTACTGTAAATGCATAATGCTTTGTCAATACTTAGATTTAATTTTATTAAAATATTATACTGCTTCAAATATTGTGTTTGTTTTAGAAAGGACTGACCTTTTTTTTACTGTTTTCTAAAGATGGTCACATGATTTTCTAATCTTAAACATAGCTTTAAAGTAGAGATCCCCTGGGAGAGGAACTCTGCTGATTTTTGAAAAAGCAGACATAGGCAGGTTACTGGGTGGGGGTATGTCTACACTACCCCGCTAGTTCGAACTAGCGGGGTAGTGTAGACATACCCTGGGTGTTTATAATTTAAACTATAACCCAATGGGAAACTAGGTCCTAGAAACGCTAAGGACTAATGCAACAGCAATTGCCCCTCATGGTATTGGGCACAGGTTCTGATGCACTTATATCAGTGTCTTCATAGATTGTATACGTTTCAGAGGGGTAGCCGAGTTAGTCTGTAACAGGAAAAAATTTAAAAAACAACAAATACTCTAGTAGCACCTTAAAGACTAACAAAACATGTAGATGGTATCATGAGCTTTCCTAGCTACAACCCACTTCTTCAAATGACTAGAGTATTAGAAATCCAGAACCAAGAATAAATAAGGGAAGGGAGAGGGCAAGAGGGGAAAAAAAGAGGCAGTGAGTAGATTGTTCAAGTAGTTACAAGAGGCTGATGAGAACAATTAGCACCTCCATTGTTTGGTTGGTTGGTTAAGTCATTAGGATGTGGAAGGTAGTGTGGGAGCCAGCCAATGTCTCTATTCATTCCATTCGCATAAGAATTAAAACTTGTAAATGAAGTTAAGTTCCAACCTTTCCCTGTGTATTTGGCTTGTGGAGCTGGCCTGAAACAACAGGTTGACTTGGAGATCCATTAATGAGTATCCAGGCAGGTTAAAGTGTTCTCCAACAGGTTTCTGTGTATTGCCTTTATGGATATCTGATTTGTGTCCATAAATATAGTGTGATTAATGGCTGCTTTAGTCATCTCTAGCTAGCAGATAAACACAAGAGACTTCACCTTTCTCCCCTTATCCTAGTGTAACACTATTGATTTCCATTGGGTTGTTCTAAACTTTATCTGTGTGTACAAAAATCATATTTAATTTACTAATCTATACTGTTGCAAGTGAAAAGAGAATCAGGTCCTTTGCCTATGGGATCTGATTCTCCTCTTGCTTACTTCAGTATTATATTAGGAGTGAAAGGTGTGGGTGTCCTTACCTCCCACAGTAGTCATAAGGTGTGGTGTTGGTGGTTTCGTGCCTTCGATGACTGGACCCTAAGTGAGCTCAGAATCAGGCTCATGAGAGTCCCTGAAATGAGACAGGCGCTGAACAATGAGTAAATATCCTCTACCTTCACCTTTTTGTGCTATAAGAGTTCATGGTATCTACTTTATCTTAATGAGGCAACCATCTGCTAAATGTTAACACTTAGTACCGAGTACAAACAGTACAATTTCTAGCAAAACCACAAATGCTTCTGTAGATTAAAGATAGACTGATTTAAATTAAGAATTTAATTATGGAAAGGAGGTAGAATTTAGCAAATACATTTCATACTTTAAGTCTCCACAATCATGTAGAGGGACCCACTGTAACACACAAGTGTGGGGCAGCTCAGAGGAATACAGCTATTTTGAAATAGATTTGAAATAAGATACACAATTCGCATAACTCAAATTGCATATCTTATTTTGAGTTTAGGGTGCTGTGTAGATGTACCGTAAATGTGTAGAGCATCCCATCTGCGTGTGTATGCAGAGTAGACTCCCTGGGGACAGATAGCCATGACTATGTCCTTTACAGACCCATTGGGTCACAGTGTAGGAATTGAAAAGTCATTAGTCTCACCGTGGTGCTGTATTAAGTGAGGAAATCCATGAAAAGGAAGAAGTCCTTTTACTGCATGAAAGGACAGCTGACTCCACAATCTCTGTGAAGTTCCACCTAAGCTAGTTTCATCTATGCTCCACAATCCTCTATCTCTTTTAAATGGGATGATTCCTAACAAATTCCAGTTTCCCTTGGAGAGATTTCATGTCACTCTGTAGCCTCCTGTAGGATTTCTCCAGGATTGGGCAGTTTTCAGATTTTTTTTTAATCACTTTACATAGTTATAATATTAGTTACTACAACATTCACCTCATGGATGCTCCTTTATTGCTACTTGCCCCCTTTCAATCTTACTTTAATTTAAACTACACTCTAATTGCCTGTTTGATTCTTCCCACATTGAAGGCAATGAAAGTTTGCCCCTCACTCTAATGGGATCTAGGTGAAGTCGCAAATGTACTTAAAAAACAAAGATAAAAAGTGGTCAATTCTAAGTGTTTTTGAAATTCCAATCTTCCAATCTGCCTGGCAACTGGAGGTCGGGGAAGATCCAGCACTTGTTGTATTTGAATGAGCCCATCCATAGAATGGTTTCAGTAGCACTTTCCTGGGGCCACATTTATCTTTCACAATTTTCTGTAAAAATTTCAATTAGACTCTGTCATTTTATTTTCTTAAATAAATTAAAATTCACCAGTTGCAAGGAAGTATCCTAGAAATTCACAAATAGCTAATACAAGTTAAATCAAAGAATGTTTAAATATAATCGACCAGCTGGTTTAAATCTGCACAGCTGTCCATGAAATTACACTGACTTACATCATCTGACACAAAGCTGACACAGAGTTTAAAAATATCATTCATGCTTGTATTCACATGCAAGTGCTAAAGACTAGGCACAGGAAACTATGTTAAAAGAACATTATTTGTGTTGCAAAATCAGAAGTAAGAAAATATCAGAATTAAAATTTCTCATGCAATCTTAATTCTCCCCAACTGTGCCTATGCATTATGGTACAGTCTTTAATTGCATGATCATATCCTTTGTTTTTCACAGGATGCATTTTTCATTCAGTGAACATTTTCTCTGAGTCTCTAGTGAATTCTTATTACATTAAAATATTTTACAGCATATATATATATATAAAGGGCTCGTCGAACCACAGCGAGCCCTGCTCGCCAGCAGCGTTGTCCGAACCCGGCTCTTCCGGGTTGCAATCTACTCGCCACGGGTGAGTAGATTGCATTATTTGTCGAGCCCTGTATATAATGATTATCCATTTAACAGGGTTTTACTCAAAATTAAGGGTATGTCTACACTACAGCGTTATTTCAAAATATCTATTTTGAAATAGCTTATTTCGAAATAACGCGTCTACACACGAAATACATTTTGAAATACCTTTTTGCTGAATTGCATTTAAGGCCGGCCAGAACAAGGTCCGGCAGGGCATCAGGACAAGGAGTTATGTTGTATGGCTGCTGCCTAAGGCTATCTGAGGCCTGTGCTTAAAGGCACCCCCCCCTACACAGCCAGTTCTCAGGTTTCGCTGCTTGCTTGCCTATCTCGATGAGGAAC